ATGAGTGTGCAGTGATATCTCATTGTAGTTTGTTTTTTTTTTTTTTTTTGAGACAGAGTCTCGCTCTGTTGCCAGAGCTAGAGTGCCATGGCGTCAGCCTAGCTCACAGCAACCTCAAACTCCTGGACTCAAGCAATCCTTCTCCTTCAGCCTCGCGATTAGCTGGGACTACAGGCATGCGCTACCATGCCCGGCTAATTTTTTCTATATATTTTTAGTTGTCCAGCCAATTTCTTTCTATTTTTTTAGTAAAGCTCGCTCTTGCTCAGGCTGGTCTCGAACTCCTGAGCTCAAACGATCCACCCGCCTTGGCCTCCCAGAGTGCTAGGATTACAGGCGTGAGCCACCGTTCCCGGCCTCATTGTAGTTTTGATTTGCATTTCTCTGATTATTAGTGATGTTGGGCATCTTTTCATATGCTTCTGGCCATTTATCATCTTTGGAGAAATGTCTATTCAAGTGCTTTGCCAATTTTTAATCAGGTTATTTGTTTTTTTGTTGTCGAGTGTAGGAGTTCTTTATATATTCTGGGTATTAACCCTTTATCAGATATATGATTTGCAAATATTTTCTCTCATTTCATAGGTTGCCTTTCCATTCTGTTAATGTGTCCTTTTTTTTTTTATTATTTCAGCATATTATGGGGGTACAGATGTTTAGGTTACATATGTTGCCCTTGCCCCCTCCCTCCCCCTGTTAATGTGTCCTTTGATGCACAAAAGTTTTTAAGCTTACTCCAGTACCATTTATCTATTTTTGCTTTTGTTGCTTGTGCTTTTAGTGTCAAATCCAAGAAATCATTGCCAAGTTCAATATCATGAAGATTTTCCCCTATATTTTCCTGTAGAAGTCTTCTAGTTTTAGGTCTTACAAGTAGATCTTTAATTCATTTTAATTTTTATAAATGGTGCAAGGTTATGGGTCCAACTTTATTCTTTTGTTTGTGCATATCAAGTTTCCCCAACACCATTTGTTGAAGAGACGATTCTTTCCCCATTGAGTGGTCTGGTCCTGGCACCCTCACCAAAGACCATTTGACTGTATACACAAGGATTTATTTCCGGGCAATCTATTCTATTTAATTGGTTTATTTGTCTGTCTTTATGCTAATACCACACTGTTTTGATTACTAGCTTTGTAATATGTTCTAAAATCAGGAAATGTGAGTCAGCCAACTTTATTCTTTTTCAAAATTACTTTGGCTCTTCAGGGTCCCTTGAGATTCCATATGAATTTCAGGATAAATTTTGCAGCTTAACTTTTTAACTTGGAAATGTTTTTTGGAGATTTACCCACATTAGTATATGACATCTATCTCATTCTTATAAAATGCTATATAATATGTATAAATGGTACCATGATTTACTTTGGACATTTTCCAAAATGATTATCATTTGTGTTGTTCCCAATTTTCACTGCTTTTGATTGGGATTGGTTAAACGTTCCTTGAATTTTAAGTAAGTCAATGGACTTAAGTGATTAATAATGAAATAGTCTTTTAGTATCATTTTACATGAAAATAAAAATCAATACATGTTTATTACAGAAAATTTGGTGTAGCAAAATACAAGAAAAAATCTAAAACCCCTATAAAATCCCACCAAAACAATAAGCAATGTAGCACAGATTTTGGAGATTTATGGTAAGGAGACTGAATTCTAGATTCTGCACTTACCATGTGACCCTGGGCAAGTTATTCAACTTCTCTAAGCTTAGTTTCCATACCTATAAAATGAAGACAATATTGTCTACCTCTTGGAGTTTTTCTGAGAATTAAACAAGATAATACTTAATACAGTGTGCAGTACTATACTCTACATCTATATCCTATACTATATATTCTATAAGAAAATGAGTAACTATAGTATGTATCCAAACAATAGAAATTTATGTAGCCATTAAAAATGATGAGGTAGATCTATGTATACTAACTTAGAAACATTTTCCAGATTCAAATCAAAAAACAATATACAGTAATTTTAAGTTTTAAAATGTGCACGTACATATACATGTATATAAAAATAGTTTGTACAGTATTTTCTTTATATATATGAAACAAAAGCCTAAAAATGAAAAGTCTGATACCATACTGTTAAGAGTGGTTTTGGGGGAGTGGTGTAGAGAAAAATGAAGAGGAGAATTTCACTTATTCTTTGCACTGTGTGAATTTGTTACAATGAAGTGTATTATTTTGTAATTAAGAGGCTGGCAAAGACTTTTTTAATTGAAAGAGAAATTCTAATTTTAAAAAGAAAAAGAATTTAAATGACAGAACTGCTTTACAGAAACGTATAACCTGACAACACCCTCTAAAGAGCAATTTTAAATTTATAAAAACAAAAGCAAATAGGCCATTTACAACTTTCTGATTTCGTTCACCTTAAAGTAATATCAGGAAAGGTTTACATTAATGTAACTCTGTAGGAGGACTTGTGAGATTTACCTGAACCTTCTGGCCTCAAGGGACCAATCTCTTATAGAATAACCACCTTCTATTTTTGTTAATTTGGGTCCCCCTGATTTTTGTTAATTTGGGTCTTCTGGTTCATTTGAAAATTGCCCACTCCAGCTTTCTTTAGCAATAGCAATCCATGTAAATTTCTCGGCCTCAGCTGCCCAGGGCCACACAATCAAACCATGGTCTTTTCTTAATTCCTAAAGGAAATCAATGGTGAGGAAAACAGATATTTCCACAAGCCATGGGGTTTTCCACAATATGCTCGTGATGGTGCCATAAACTAATCAAAACAAAAGAATTTCTGTTTTCAGAATTTAGTTGAATTATGTTTGCAGATCAAGGGCAAGTTTCTAAAAACAATTCTACTTATTCACTAGAGAAAAAAAGAGAACTAAGAAGAACAAAGAGTGTAATTTTAAAACGACTAGCTAGCATAATGTAATGGCCACTATTTACTTTATAACTTTACAAAAGACAGTTACTCTTCCACGAGCAATGTGGAAATCCCTAGGATTTCTTATAAAGCTCAACTAAGGAATTCACTGAAAGGTGAAACCAATTATTGGTGGGGAGGAGGGGAGGAAGCAGGATTAGTAGGAGAAATATGAGATCATAAAATTGTTCAGGTACAAGAAAAAGTTCAGTTTCACAAACTTTTTTTTCTTAATAGTAGGACATATGGGATGAATTGAAACCTGAGATCAAATAAGCCAGTTAGAATACTATAAAATACAGTGAAGAAATTCAACAAGCAATTTTCTGAAAACTATGACACCAAGAGAAAGAATACAAGGCCAATATCTAAGCAATATTTTTACAAGTTTTTTTTTTCTTTTTATTTCAGCATATTATAGGGGTACAGATGTTTAGGTTACGTATGTTGCCCTTGCCCCCTCTCCCCAAGTCCGAGAAGTCATTAACTCTTTATGATCAAGAAAAGACCAGTAACAAACAAGACTTAAAATAATGATGTCTGATTATTTTATAAATATTGTGTGAGAGTTGTTGTTAATGGAAAGGTGCTATGTGGGTCATGAATATGGTGAGGAGGCATTTTGGACCATTCAGACCAAAGCCAGAGAAAAAGTGTCTGGGTCCTTAAGGCACCACATCAGTCCTGGATAAGAGAAAAATAAGCTTCTATCTGATTAAAGTCTCTGTTATATAGGGTCTTATAACACTGGTCATGGGAGGACTCTTGGAAGAAGTTATATTTCAGCATAAAATAAAGTGAAAAAAAAGAATAAATTGTGTTACCAAAAACTCAGCACTTGTTCACAAGGTCAAATCAGAAGAACGAGGACAAGTGGTTTGGGGAGGAAGGAAAGAGATACTTTATTACTTTGCTAGCAAAGGAGGAGGATGGTGACTTCTGTCTGAAATTCCATCCTCCTAATAATAAGCAGAAATACAGAGCTTTTAAAGGATGGGTTCTCAGCTTCAGGCAATTACTGTTCAACTACAGTGATGACTCTGATCATCCCATCTCTGCTGAAGACAATCCCCGGACCTCCACCAGGACCTCCCTTTACCATGTCTGGGCTGAGCCACCTCTTTTAGCACAAATAACAAAAGACTTATCCTGCCCCTCCCAACCACTGGCCTGAGGCAGGGATGTAGGTTTTAGTTCTCAAAAAGGAGTGGAGACTATGTTAAAGAGATGGAAATATTTTTGCCGTTTTTTTTTTTTTTTCAGGCCATTCCCTCTGTTACAATTGTGCAAATATTTGGAAAAAGTACATTCCATGCTCAGGGAAGGATGATTTGCAAAGGTCTGAGTGTGCTCATCACATTGGAGGCAGAAGATGGAGATTGTGTGGCTGGAACCAAATGAGACTCAAGTGATCTTTTAAGTAAATTGATGGCCTGCAGGTGGGGTTTAAACTTTGTCTTGCATAGCCTTAGGCCTGTTAATGATTAACTATCTTATGGGTACAAAGTGGAACTCCAAAATGGGGGGAACATGACTAGGCATGTCTGACCTCCCTACTCCTCATGGCCCACAACTCAGTTTTAAGGTTGTTCTGGGGTCCCCTTGGCCAAGAGGGGTCCATTCAGTCGGCTATGTGGCTTAAGATTTTATTTTAGTTCACACAACTCAGGAACTGCCTCTTCTTTCCCTATAAAAAATCCTACGTTAACTCCTGCTAATCAAAGTGTATATTTGGGGAAACTTCAATCTATGTTCCTGGGTTGCAATTCTCAAGCTTGACCCAAATAAACTCTCTATTTAAATAAATTTTGCCTCAGCTTATTTCTTTTAGGTCAACACTGCTTACCCTACCTCGAGTGTTGCTTCCCATGGAAAACAAAATAAAAGCTCTTGCCCACATTCCCCCTACCTCCACCTCCTGACCGGCCCTGGCGCTGTCTGTGTGGCTCTGGGTGGTCCACCCTGCCTCTTGTTTCTAAAGATCTGTGAGAGTAAGCTTTTGCCCTTATGACAGTCATTTCTGCATCTTCCTATCTTACCATACCTGAATAAAACAAATCCTGAGTACCCTTAAAACAAGAACAATACCATTGAAAAATAAAAAAAAAAAAGTGCTCAATTTATTCTAATTTAAACGAGGGCGGTATATGAGGGTAAAATTCAAGCAAAAGAGCATTTCTTCAGTACTCCCAGCAATAGCTTCAACAATACCTTGGTATTTTCCCTAAAATGAGAAATAAGAAATACAAGTAATACAAAATGTTAGATGATACTATTTTAAAGGCTTTTATAAGAACTTTGTATTACTAGCAGAAAGCCATTTAAATTGAATTATCATTTTCTTAGTTTCCAATGAGAGAAAATTTTGTGTGTCTTTGAATTCAGTGAGCATGGAGTCCATTTATTATATTTCCCAAGTATAACACGATTTTTAATAGTTTTAGAAACTAGCCTAGGAGGTTTTCAAATATTAGATATGATTTATAGCAAAATAACTAGAAAATATGAATTATCAATGTTTATTTTAAAACAGTCACTAAAAGTGAAATGTACAAAATTTTATTGCTAGATATGTAATGCAAGTATCTAAAATTACAATGGTATTATTCATTGAGGCAGTAGTTAATATTTTTACAAAGGCCTGGATGTCCAGACTAAGTTCCCAAGAAAAAATCTTGAATAAAATAAGCCTATAATTTATGTAATTTTTATTCTCCTAAACATTTTTACATTACGTTTAGTATATTACATGAATAGTTAAAAACAGTTACTGACTTATACATAGTGGTCATCCAGTGCTTTCATCTGAAGATCATTCAACAGTTTAATAATGAGCAGTCACATTACTTTTAGGCATGTATGTTAGAGAAAAAAACAAAATGAAAAAGAACTATCTTTTGTGCAATTTTTCCATATTCTACAGAAGGAAGAAATGACAAAACACTGAATATCAAATAAAAGTGGAAAAAAAAAGATTTTTGAACATCTTAATCTTGAATCACTATTTTTAGAAGTTGTGAATTGCATTTTTGCAATTCTTAACATATCTGTTACTGTAAAAGGTTAAGAAAGTACAAAATAAATCTTGCACAATACCTTAGAAAATCGTATTCCATTGAAGGAGAATGATATTGTTGTATTCACTGTCTCTGCAAACAAAATACCAAATTCAAAATGTTATTGGTCATCATTAGGTAATTTGTTTCTTGACAGTATAGAGTGTACCTTTATCGAGTACACTTAACTACTGGCAGAAGCAGTCTCAAGCAAAACTGTAGAGAAGTAATAAAGCTTATATCCTGGCTACTAATCTACTGTGGCTTCCTCTGCCCTGCCTCCCGACAGCTTCTCTATGTACCAGCCCATATCTCAATCCTTAGGGGACGCAAATTTTAAGGCCCACTGGCCTCAGTAACAAATAAATGATGAATAAGCTAGTTCATACCAAGTTATATATGCACATATTTAACTCTAGTTTTCAGATACTGCTGCACCTTTAGCTGGGTATAATAGAGAAGCCTCTTCCTAAAGGCAGAAGAGATATTTTAGAGGCAGCCGGTATACTAAAGCTCCTTCCAATCACACCACTGAGAAGCCCAAGTATTTAGCCTTTGTTTAAACGCATAGTCATGGGCCTGGCCTTGCACAAGCTGTGCAGCACAGAGTCAGAAGTGCAGAAAAAACCTCATTCAACTGTTCTAGTCAGGACAAAGTAGTGAAAGTGGAGAGTAAGGATAGAAAGAGTTTTTTGAATCTCAAACAAAAGATATAGTGATGAAAAATCTTTTTTTAGTAATATAAATAGTCAAATGCCAAACTATAATGGTTATTATTCCAGAAGTAAACAGGTTATGTCTGCATGTACACTTCTATTCTCAAAAATAAGCATTTCTTTAATTCTGGATGTGTCCTTCCTAACAGTGTTAATACACTGAGATGTTCCTTGAGCTTAATAAAGTGGTCATGTCTTCATAATTTTTTTTTTTTTTTTGAGACAGTCTCACTGCTCTAAGTAGAGTGCTGTGGTGTCAGCCTAGCTCACAGCAACCTCAAACTCCCAGGCTCAAGTGATCCTCCGGCCTCAGCCTCTCGAGTAGCTGGGACTACAGGCATGTGTCACCATGCCTGGCTAATTTTTTCTATATATTTTTAGTTGTCCAGCTAATTTCTTTCCATTTTTTTAGTAGAGATGGGGTCTCGCTCTTGCTCAGGCTGATCTCGAACTCCTGAGTTCAAATGATCCTCCCACCTCAGCCTCCCAGAGTGCTGGGATTAAGGCATGAGCCACCACGCTCGGCCTCTGTGCTCTGTAAAATGGTGATAAGTAATAATACCTACCTCACAGAATTATTATGAGGGCTATATGAGTTAATACACGTTAAATGCTCAGAACAATGCCTAGGACATAGCACTCATTAAATATTATTAACATTAAATGTTACTTCTGATAACATTTAATAGTCCTTCTCCTTTCTAGACCCCCTTCCTATGACATCTTGTGAATAACATTCATGTCTTGTAAATATTAACATACTAATATAATGTTAACGTTACATATTTATATATTATATAACGTTAATGTAATAATAATGTCTATCTTTTTGACCTGCCGGTTTATTTGAGAGCATTTATCACAAATTGAATCTTATTTCATTTTTCTGTTCATCTTCATTTCATTACCTCATTATGATCTTGTTTCCTCTACTAGTCTATAAGCTCCATGAGGACAGGGGCTTTGGTCATTTCTGAATCTCTGGCTCCTAATACATAGTCCCTGAGTACTTGGCTTCAGGTAATTTGCGAGACCCAGCACAAAATGAAAATGTGGGGCTTTTTATTCAAAAAACAGGGGGAAAGATCTGTTACAGTTACTAAATTATAAAGCTTTTTCCTTTCTTCCATGTTTCTCTTTATAGACTTGACATATTTTTCATTGCTATTTAATATCATTCAAACTAAAGAAAACTTAAAGTTTTTAATTAGTATGAATCTTACCATTCATTTTTTATGATAGTTTTAAATGCCAGTTTTAAATGCAAATATCAGAGTATTTAACATCAAGGCAGAATCCCTGAAATGACACCATTTTGAGGCTCATCCTCAGAGAATGGCTGGAGCTGGCCAGGCGAAACTAACAAGCCAGACTCAGGAAGTTTGAATAGAGAAAGAAAAGGTCCCCCAGGCTTGGAACAGCCTGAGGGAATCCTCCCTCAGCACGGAGCTCAAGGTGAGTATAGAAGCACCCAAGGTCCCCTCCATAACTCTGGGCACCTGTGCAAGCTTAGACCTGACAGCTGCCTGTCAGGGTCCCCCTCCCACAAGCTGCCAGATGCCCCATGCCTCAATGGGAGTTGGGGAAGTCAAAGCAGCCATATTTCTTTACACAGGCCTGCTGTCCCATGATGACCCTCAAGGTACTGCAACGTCCATGCAATACTTCCACACACTACTTGTTTGGGATAGGCGGATGCACCTACCTAGTCACCTGCTGAACGCTGCAGTGGTGCTGCCAGCCCAGGTGGGAGAGCCACTGTCATGCCCCACCTTAGACAATGCAGGGCACCCATGCCTGGTCCTGACCTTCCCTGTATGCAGGACCTCACCAGGGGCAGAGGGTGGCAGGTGTCAATGGACAGAAGTGGGGAGGAGGATGCCAGGGAGGTCCCTTGGTGCCAGCAGGGAAGTGGGCAGAGGGGAAGCAAAAACCAGTCCAGGGAAGGTAGGGACATACCCCATTGTCTCATCGGATTCCACTTACAAAACACGCACTCCTCAAAGATAGAATTATTAAGAATTTCAAGATTACTATCACAGGGCATTAAACCCCAAGCACAGGGCCCTTCTGCATATGGGCCCTGATGGTAAAGCTAACTTTGTCAACTTTATGGGAGGGAGGAAGGAAGATGGATAAGCCTTGAGGACTTGAGAAAGAAATCAAGAATAACTCCCGGATTTCTACTTAGGGAAACTGCCCAAATGCTTAGCAGGTCAGGTGGGAAGGAGATCTAACCTCTTCCATTGATTAGCCCTATTTTTCAATTGTTTTGTCTCTCTTTGGAATGTTCATATCTTGGTCATATTTCCCATTCTATTCTTAAAGGCTTATTCAAAGCCTTTCCCACACTGAAGAAGCCAAGAGGGAACCAAGGTAGGACCAAGGAAAAGGAGGACAGAATACCTTAGGTCCTTCTCTACTCTTTCCAAAAGGTATCTGTGCATCTCCCTCATGGTCTAGTCTAGTTCTGGCAACTATGCAGGATGCAGGACCCAAGCCTCAGACGGTGCTGTGGCTTGAATTGTGTCCCCCAAAAAGATACGTTGAAATCCTAACCCCCAGTTCCTGTGAACACAGCCTTATTTGGAAATAGGGTCTTTGCAGATGATCAAGTTAAGATGTGGTCATTAGGGTAAGCTCTAGTCCAGTATGACAGTGGCCTTATAAAAAGGGGAAATTTGAACACTGAGACAGACACACATAATAGGGAAGACTCTGAAGAAACACAGAAAAAAGAGGGCCATCTACAAAGCAAGAAATGCCTGGGGCCACCAGAAGCTGAGAGACAGGCCTGGAACAGATCTATCCCTAGCTCCCTCCGAGAGAGCATGGCTTTATCACCTTCATTTCAGACTTCTAGCCTCCAGAGCTGTGAGACAATAAATTTCTGTTGTTCTAAGCCACCCAGTTTGTGTAAATTTGTTACAACAGCCCCAGCAAAATCCTGGTAACAGGACTAATTGGCTTATTAAATTTAAGATGCTTTGAAATATCCATTTATTTATTCATAAATGTATTGTTGAAAGGAATAGATGTGTGTGTATGTGTATAAAGTGGTGGGATTACGAGTAATTTTTATTTGATTTTTGCTTACCCCTATTTTCTAAATATTGTATCCTAAAGATGTCTGACTTTTGTAATACCAACCAAAAGGAAAGTTATTTTAAAAATATATATGTATGGTACTTGCAAATTCGACTCCCAAATTTCAAGGGTCTCTTTATACGACAATGCTTCTTAAATCAAAATGTCCTAAGCTCTGGGCCCACATACTCAGCTGCCAGATGGACATGTTTATTTGAATGTTCCAAAATTACCTCGAGCTCAACATGCCCAAACTCACTACGTTTCTCTTTAAAAATCTGCCTCTTCTTTTGAATACATCATCTCAGACAATGGCACTTCCATATATCCAGTCACCAGCCATCAAGTGGTTCTTGACTTTACCTAATCCTTGCCCGCCACATCATATCAGTCAGTGTGTCCTGCCAGTTCTGTTTCCCAGAATGCTCTCTTTCATGTCCTCCCTTCTACTCCCAGGGCTGCCATCTTTGCCCAGCCCTCTTGGTCTCCCACACAGCTTCCTGGCTGCTCTTCCTTCCACCCAGGTGTCTTGCCTCAGCCAACCCCCGCCTCCTTCCATATGGACGATAGTTATCTGCAAAAATGGAAATCTCAGTGGGTTATCCCTGCCCACTGACTACAGGCTACCAGCCAATATTTTGTGCATGACTTACATGCTCACCCTGCCCCCATTTCTAGGCTCATCTCCAGCAATTCCCCACAAGCACATACTGCTCCAACTACAAAAACACAACTCTCCAAATAAACCACACTCTTTCATGACTAGATATGTTTGCACATGCTGTTTTCCTCTCCAGAGAATGTTCTTCCCCCTCATTCTCTGATGTTCTGAGATTCGAGACTCTAATAAAATACTCTGTGAAGACTTATCTGAGTTTTCCTGTCACACTTATTTAATTAATTATAGAGTTAAAACTAATAGTATATAATTTTATTAGCATTTATGACATTTCATTGTAAATTTTGTTCCCATGACTGTTTTTTCCAGAATAGAGTGACTTTGTCACGAAGGAGACCCTACCATTCAACTGCAGATCACCAGAACCTAAATTATGATTTGCTCAAATTAGGTTCAACAGATGTTTGTGGAAGGAAGTAGGGGGAGGGAGAGAAGAAGCAGGCAGGCTGAGTTGAGTCTGACACATCTTAGATTACAAGAAAGTGAAACTTTGAAAATTGAGATAAAATGTCAACATAATCCCACAGAGATTATGTGAAATAACTGTAAAACAGTCATGTAAGAATAATGGACGATTTCTTGAAAAAACACTAATCTGGTAAGAGGATTTTTTTCAAAGAGAAAGCATGGCACTGTGGAAGAGTTGTATCTTAAGAGTTAGGATATTGCTCTGTTACTAGTTCTCCAAATGACCAACAACATATACTGAACCATCACTGCAGGCATCGGTTTCCTCAACTGTAAAAATGACAGGACTATAAAATTAGGAAAAGAAGAAAGATTCCTACTCTGAGAACTATAGTGAGCTTTGTCACACGCATTCTCTAATTTAATCCTGAAAACCATATGAGTTTCACTGTCCCCATTTTACAGATAAGGAAAATGAGGCCAAGAGAGGTTAAATAATACATCCAAATTCATGTTGCTCATAGATGGAAAACCTGGAATACAGACTCAGGTCTTTGTGATTCTGAGCCCAGACTCATACACAATGCCAGCTCCATAGTTTGCATATGGTTAAGCGGTGGCAGACCAGTTAAAAATGTGAAGAGATGGTTGGCAAGGAGATGCATCTTGAAGCTTCATTTCCATAGCAAGCATACTAATTTACTTAGAAACTATTTTTTTAAATGACTGCTAAAAAATGTATTGTCAAATTAATGTCCCACTCAGAGTAATTCTGTTATAAATTTTTATATTTCTCTCATTGCATTAATTCTTAACCCTCATTTTCCCATTTTTGTCCCATCTATATCTAATTTATGTAATATCACTAAATATAACGTACATATGTAAACTACCTGAAATTCTTTTTTAAACAAGACAGAGTACAAGTTAATGGTAAATAATTATGTGGGAAAATATTCAATTGTAACAGTAATTTTAAAAGTTAATAAAACACGGCCAGGCTCAGTGGCTCATGCCTGTAATCCTAGCACTCTGGGAGGCTGGGGCAGGAGGATTGCTTGAGGTCAGGAGTTTGAGACCAGCCTGAGCAAAAGCAGGACCCCATCTCTACTGAAAACAGAAAAAATTAGCAGGGCAACTAAAAATAGAAATAAAAAATTAGCCAGGCCTGGTGGCAAATGCCTGTAGTGCCAGCCACTTGGGAGGCTGAGGCAGGAGGATTGCTTGAGCCCAGGAGTTTGAGGTTGCTGTGAGCTATGCTGATGCCATGGCACTCTAGCCCAGGATGACTGAGAGAGACTCTGTCTCAAAAAAAAAAAAAGTTAATAAAACAATTAGATATAAGTTTTTTAACCTGTTTTTTTAAACTTTTTAAAAATGCTAATGCCCAATGTTAACAAGAGGGAGATTAAATTATCATACATATACATTGGTGGTGGTACAATGTATAAATTAGTACAAGACTTTAGAAAAGCAATTTGGCATTATGCAAACAAAACCACAAATATAGTCAAACCATTTAAATCCCAGAAATCTCCCTGGAAGTTATCTGTAATTCTTTCTTTTGAATACAAGAATATTCAAATTTAAAGTAAAAGAAAAACTATATAAGGAAATATATTTATTACAATATTATTTATAATAGTAAAAAATATCAGAAGGAAACTAAATGTACAATAAGATAATGGTTAAGTAAACTAGGGCATACCCACTAAGGGAAATGTTACACTGTATAATGCTTATATCCTGATTTTTTAACTACATGGAGGAGCTATTCAAAGAATAAATCAATTTTTAAAAAGAAAACAAACAATTGTAGTACGTATACTCACAACTACATAAAAATATGCATACATTAAAAAAAGAATTCTGGCTGGGCATGGTAGCTCACGTCTGTAATCCTAGCACTCTGGGAGGCCGAGGCAGGATCGATTGAGGTCAGGAGTTTGAGACCAGCCTGAGCAAAAGCAGGACCCCATCTCTACTGAAAACAGAAAAAATTAGCAGGGCAACTAAAAATAGAAATAAAAAATTAGCCAGGCATGGTGGTGCATGCCTGTAGTCCCAGCTACTTGGGAGGCTGAGGCAGGAGGATTGCTTGAGCCCAGGAGTTTGAGGTTGCTGTGAGCTAGGCTGATGCCATGGCACTCTAGCCCAGGCAACAGAGTGAGGCTCTGTCTCAAAAAAAAAAAAAAAAAAAAAAAAATGTAAAAAAAGAATTCTGAAAGTTTCCCCAGAGGGGGGAAAAAAAAGAAAATGTTTTTATAAATATGATTCTGTGATCTTTTTACTGCTTATATTTTTCAATTTTTGGTAATATGATTATGATATTTATAATCTTTTAAGCTATTTAAGATATAAGCATAAAATTATTACAGAAAAATTCATGGGCTTGTATTAAGTGAACTTTAAGACCCTAAACTCTGAATTTATTGATTCTGTAAATAATTCCAGGGAGGAAAATAAAGGGGGAAGACATTAAAGAAACCAATATAGCTGCACAGAAAAATCTGGTAAGTTACTATGAAAAATAATAAATGTAATGTTTAGAAAAAGAGATCCATAACCAAGAATAAATGTAAAATATTCATCTAAACAAGGTTAAATTTTTAATATCCCATCAAACATACTCATGTGTCATCTTAATAACAATTCAAGGACATAATTGTAAAATGTTTAAGCTGCTAAAAGTAAAAATTTTGGATGGGAAAAAGAACTGTTGTAAGAAAAGGAACTTCACATTTTTAATGTATTTAACTTTCATAACATTCTCATAAAGAATTATTTCTGGCCAGACGCAGTGGTTCATACTATAATCCTAGCACTTTGAGAGGCCAATGTAGGAGTATCGCTTGAGGCCAGGAGTTCAAGACCAGCCTGAGTAATGTAGTGAGATCCCATCTCTACCAAAAAAAAAATTAGCCAGACATGGTGACGCGCGTCTGTAGTCCCAGCTACTCAGGAGGCTGAGGCAAGAGGATCACTTGAGTCCGGCAGTTTGATGTTTCAGTGAGCTAGGATCATGCCACTGTACTCTAGCCCAGGCAACAGAACAAGATCCTATCTCAAAAAGAAAAAAAAAAAGAATTATTTCCTATTCTATAAGTTAACATGAACTGAACACTTACCTCCTTTCAGAGCTCTGCAAAGAGAATAAATGTCATCAGATCCACGGCAAATAACTTCTTTGCGCTTCGGAAGCTCCATAGAGTTGATAGATATATAGAGATTGAAATATAATTTGTTTAAGTCTCTCCCTTAAAAAGAAAAAAATCCCATTAGCCCCTCAAATAACAGATTCTTTTACACATAATTAATTGTATACTTAAAATGTGCCCTGTGCTTTTCCCTCATTATTTCATTTAATCATCACAACTATCTATTAGGTGGTTATTATTATCTTTGTTCTGCAGATAAGAAACTGAAGTTTTAAGAGGGTAACTAGTAGATTGTAATCAAATAAAATGCTCCACAGTAAGAACTATGTATGCTATGCCTAAAAATAGAGGAACTTTCATAGCTTGATTGAGAAAACTATCAAATGCAGGCATACAATTTCCTGTTCTAGTCACGGTTGTGCTAGAAAATTCAAAGGAAAGCAAAGGGAAACGAAAGGAAGTGAGACAGTCAATGTTTCAGGACATTTGATGAAAGATTTCTTAGAGAATAAAACTGAATCTTTCGATTAACAATTAAATGTATGGCTTTTTTTTATTTTCTCATGATCTCTCCCTATTACCAATTAACATGGAAAATTCCAGTAAAGAATGCATTTTGATCTTCGGTTGGCTCAAATGAAAAAGATGCACAAATCTTTTTCATGATGAAAACAATTTTATAACCACTACCTCACTGAAAATGTTTTCCTAATAATATCACCATGACTCATTCATTGTAGCCATAATCAAAAGACAACTTTTCTCTCTTTAATTTGAACTTGGCTGTGTTTAACAGAACCGCCTGCTCCTTTCTCTATACGCTCTTGGCATTGATGCCACCACTCTTCCAGCTGTCCTCCCACTCTCTGACTCATTCTCCTCAGTCTCTGTCATTGACTCCTCTTTCTCAGGGCTCTATCCTCATTCTCCTCAATTTTCACTCTGCATACTCTGGGCTTTACATACCACATTCTGTGATAATTCCCAAATCCACATCTCTAGTCTCAACCTTTCTCCTGAGCACCTATCCCCACCATGTATTCATTCAACATCTCTACTCAAATGTTGCTCGGTTACCGTACCCAACAGATCCAAAAGTGATTTCCTCATCTTCATCACCAAATCAGCACTAGTATTCCCGTCCCTGTAAATCTTTCTAACCTCCTTTTCGGCCCCATTTCCACTACCTTAATGCAGGCCCTCATTACTCTGAGCCTAAAGTACCACCAAACTTCCTAATTTGTCTCTACTTCTCTACTTTCAGGCTAGAGTGTGCAAAAGAACATCTATTTCAAACAGCGGTCCCATGGCCTACTCCATGGACTGGGACCTGAACTTTTGAAAAGGAGGGCTGTGTGTACAAGTTGAAGAGCTGTTTCACAAGGAATTTCTGGAGACATGGAGGCACAGAACAGCACTGCTATGGTGTCCAGTGACAATGCAGGACAAAGGATCTTCCTCCATTTCTGCATGAAACACAGCATAATTCCAGTCTTCAATGACTCTAAGAAAGGAAGTCTGCTTTGACAACGCAATAGTTTACATTGTGAGAAGCTCCTTGGCCTTGGACGCCACTATGGTCATTTAGGAACATGAATAATGGCAATAGTGAGGTACCACTTTTATGGCTCAGCAAGCCGGGGATATCAATGTGGGTATTGCAGTGAGAGACAAGAAACATGGTGGCTGCCATGTGGTATAAAAGAGGACTATTTTTGAGCTCACCTAAGACGACCGCAGGAACTTCCATAAATAACTTTCATAGAGGCTTATGCTCCAGTTTTATTTGTTGTCAATCAGTTAATAGTACAGAAATAATTTACTAGAAAGGCTATTAAGTCTCAAAATACATAATTTCCATTCCTAACCTATTTTTGGTTCAAGTTTGTACTTATGTCTCTTACTGAATTTAAGTAGAAATAAGGCTGTAAAAATAAGGTTGATGTCTACAAATGTGGCCCCATACTTTGTACTAACATTCTAGTATATTCTATGGAAACTTAGTTCATAATTGCAAAATGCTATAAAAATATGACTGAATAATTCTTTTGTTAATGAGTTAATATAATTTGTTCTGTAAAGGTCATATTTAGTGAGTGATTAAAATATATGGTGGCCCTGGAGGTGTGGCACTCAAACCTCCCTCCAAGGGCCAGGCGAGGTGGTTCACACCTGTAATCCTAGCACTCTGGGAGGCCAAGGTAGGAGGATCCCTTGAGCTCAGGAGTTCAAGACCAGCCTGAGCAACAGTGAGAGCCTGTCTGTACTAAAAATAGAAAAATTAGCCGGGCGTCCTGCCACACACCTGTAGTCCCAGATACTTGGGAGGCTGAGGCAGGAGGATCACTTGAGCCTAGGAGTTTGAGGTTGCTGTGAGCTATGATGATGCCACTGCACTCTACCCAGGGAGACAGAGCAAAAGTCTGTCTCAAAATAAAAATTAAAAAAAAAAAAAAAAACAAACCTCCCTTCAAAAGAAGCTACTGTGAGGAGGGTCGTTGGCAGATAGCCTGCAGCTGCCACCCCTTCAGATCCATCTCAGCACTCAGCCAGAGGCTACTCTCTCACAGGCTGCTCCTGTAATGATTGAGCATTACAAGGACCCTGGGTCAGGCTACTGGTGCCTGTGGCCTATCATGGAACTCTTGTGACAGGCAGTCTGCTCTGGGGTGTCCCATTGACCAGGCTGAGTGTGTCTCAGGGATGTATTTTGGTCTGATGATCATCCTACCTAATTCTCCTTCCATCCTATTCTGCTTTCAAGATATCAGACCTGGACTCCAACCTGAATTTATTCTTTGCCTACCCTGGCTTCCTCTCTCCCTTATTGTTCCCAAGCATTTTCCCCAGTGAATCTCTAGCAAGTCTAATTCCTCCTTGGTGTTTGCTTTTCAGAGAACCCTAAGTGTTTCCACCTTGTCTTATTATTTGGGCCTGGAAGGATGCAACCTACTTCTTGTGTGTAAGGGCAAGAGATTCACTTGAAAGTGAAATCATTCATTGTGTAAATCATCTCTTGTGCCAAACACCTGCGAGTAAAGCCTACCAAATAGATGAGAAAACAGAACCTGGGACCAGGAAAAAATTGTAGCACCTTAACCAGGCAAAAGTTTAGATTGTTTCATTTACCCTTGGCCAGGAAGGTAGAACAAACAGAGTTACTTATTCTCTGTTCTATGTTACCACTGAGGCTAACTGCTATCATTTCACTTATCATACCTTATTATCTTCAGATCTTTCTCTTCTATTGCACTGATTCTTGCATAGATTCTTTTTTTTTTTTTTGAGACAGAGTCTCACTCTTTTTGCCTGGGCTAGAGTGAGTGCCGTGGCGTCAGCCTAGCTCACAGCAACCTCAAACTCCTGGGCTCAAGCGATCCTTCTGCCTCAGCCTCCCGAGTAGCTGGGACTACAGGCATGCACCACCATGCCCGGCTAATTTTTTGTATATATTGTTTTTAGTTGGCCGATTAATTTCTTTCTAATTTTAGTAGAGGCGGGGTCTCGCTCTTGCTCAGGCTGGTCTCCAACTCCTGAGCTCAAACAATCCGCCCGCCTCAGCCTCCCAGAGTGCTAGGATTACAGGCGTGAGCCACCGTGCCCCGGCCTCTTGCATAGATTCTTGAAGATCAAGAGCATGTCTTATCAGTAAATTCACAGCGCCTAGCACAATACTTGAAATACATTTACTAAGTATTTTTTAGTGAATAAATGAATGCAGAGACAAAATGTGAAAATACACATTGAACTATTAGACTCAGAAAAATTAAAACATGCATTTATTGTCTATCATTCCTGGGTTCTCAGTTTTGTTTTGTTTTGTTTTTCTTTTTTCTGGTAAGCTAGAGAACTAAAATCAGGGAAGAAATGTTTCTTTAAGTTAATTTATGTGAAAATACTTTGCAAAGTATAAAACAAGCTCCAAATCTAAACTGGATGTAAATTATGATGATGATAATGATAAAGATTAGAATTGAAGTTTTCTGGGATCCCAGAGCTTATAGGCAATAAGCACTGTTGGCTGAATGGTAGTAAAATGTGAAAATTTTGTGTCTTCTCAGACACACAGATGCAGCCCCATGCAATCACCACCACCTGCATCAGTTTTTACTAAGCTGACAATAAGCAAAGTCACAGAGAGGAAAAATAAGACACAACACAAAGCAAAACAAAACACAGTACCTTGTTTTGCCCCATTATCAGCATATTTTTTTAGAAAGATCATCTTTTGAAAAAAAGTCTTGGCTTGCTCACACACAGATCTTTGACTAGTGGAAACCCAATATTACTTATCAGCTGAATAGCTAATGCTGGACAAAGGATATACCTATTAGATTGTTAGAAGTCTCAAGTTATTTCCATTGCTATCCACATGTCCTTGTGTAATTCCCTCCTCATAGCATAAGCTGGCCTCGTGACTTGCTTCTAACCAATAGAAGACAGCAAAGGTGGATAGAGTGTCACCTCTGTGATTATGTTGCATAAGACTGACTTCTATCTTGTTGGCTGACTGTCCCCCTTGCTGGATTTGAAGAAGCAAGCAGCCATATTGAAAATGCCACGTGGCAAAGAACTGAGGAATGGCCAACAGCCAGCAAGAAAATGAATACTACCAATAACCACATGAGTTTAGAGGCAGATTCTTCCATAGTTGAGCCTCAGAAGAGAACCCAGTCCTGGTCAACAACTTTGTGGGAAACCCTGAAGCAGACACAGGTAAATCATGCCCAGACTACTGTCCCACAGAGACTATGAGATAATAAATGTGTGCTGTATTAAGACTGTGGTAATTTGTTACATAGCAATAGTAACAAATATATTTGGAATACAATTATTTATCATTGATATTTCTTAAACCCTTTAATTGACCTATAACAAAAAATTTGGACTTACTTGGAATGTAGTAAATATGCAAAAGTCCTCTGGTTCCCTTCAATGTTATACAGGGGTTAACATTAATTGAAATAGGATAGTCCATGTGATCTAAATGAAATAAAAATAATGTCAATAAATTATTGTAAATCACTTCCAATAAATACAGTATTCTGGATATCAGCCTCTATAAGATGTCTTTTGCATTAAAATTATATAATAAGAAAAACTGACGGTGGTTGAAAATATATCCCCACAGGAATAATATTAGCAACATAGCAGAATAGGAAGCCTGGACTCCCCTTGCTCCTACAAACACAATAATTCAATTCACAAATTCTCTTTGTGAGGAATCAAATTAATTGAAAGATTCCTGCACCCCAGGAAAACATGAAACCAGATTCAACAAAACCTGTAGGGAGATTTGGGGTCACCCTCTATCCAGAGACCCTTACCCTGGTGCAGTGCCATACAATCAGGGAGAGATCCCCTAGTTCCCAGCTTTACCCTGAAATGGAAGAAGTTGGTTCACATGTCCAGCACACTAACTTGTTCATGGGGACTCTCCAAAGGACTGGTTTATGTCTTGCCAGTCTTAGAGCTCTGATGGGTCTGGCACAGTCTACCTCCCAGGGGAGAATGACGGCAGTGGCTTGGGCTTGTAGGTATCATTCATCCTTCCCTCTGTTCAGCACAAAGTGAGCAGATGAAAAAATCCCAGTTCTTAGCTTTCCCCTGGGGAGAGAAAGAGTTGATCTATGCATACAGCACCCCGAATACTCTGGGAGTCCCCAAAACTAGTATCTGCATCACCAGTCCTGGAGCTCTGACAGATCTGGCATACTCTAGCTGCCTGGGGGAAAATGAAGACAGCAGCTTGGGATAGTAGATGCCATAGCTCCCTCCCTCACCCAATCCCAAGCTCAGCAAAGAATAAGTGGACAAAACCCACAGCTGCCTGCTTCTCCCTGAAGAGGCAAATAGTTGGTAGAAGTCTCCAGAATCTGACCAGACTGATGAGTAGGGGCCTTTCCTGTGTGAAGCCAATCCATGAAGACTAGGAGAGATGTCTGCTTTGTCTAATGTGCAGACAACAAAATAGAGAGTCAAGGAAAATGAAAATTTAGGCAAAGATGTTTCAAACAAAGAAATAAAAAACATCTGCTTAACTGACTCTAAGGAAATGAAGTTATATGATTTACATGACAGAGAGTTTAACACATTGACTGACACAATAGAAAAAAAAATTTTCCTTGGGGCCACAATGTCTTATTACAAAAATAGAATAAAAACTTTGAAAATAAAATGATCCTTTCTAATTTAATGAAAAATATGTTATTTTTTATTGTTTTCCGTGAGTGAGTTATATGCAACTTGAAAAATAGTTCACGCAGCTCAAGGTAAAGAGATGTGTGAATTACATATGCTTCACAAGGCCCCAGGCTCAAAACTTATACAACTCACATGGCAGTTAATGTGTTAAAATAACTCTCATAATGATGCTTACCAAGATCAAGAGAACAATGCATGAAGGAAAGGAGAATTTCAACAAAAAGAGAGAATATTAAAAAGTACCACACAGCATTACATGTACCCCGTAAATACATGCACCTATTATGTACCTATAATAATTAAAAATTTTTAAAAAATGTTTTAAGTACCACAGAACAAGCAGTGGACTCTACCGGTTATGGCCTCCAACTTTAAGAAGACTAACATGGCATCAAGTGCCAGCAAAAAGGATCAGTCCTAAGCCTGAGCTTACTGAAAAGCAGAAACAGAAAATCCAGGAAGCTTTTGATCTCTTCAACACTGACAGAACTGGGACTATAGATGCTAAAGAACTTAAGGTGGCAATGAGGGCCCTGAGCTTTGAACCCAAGAAAGAAGAAATTGATAAGGAAGGGACAAGAAAAGTGGATTTCAGTGACTTTTTGACTGTGATGACTTAGGAAATATCTGAGAAAGATACCAAAGAAGAAATCCTGAAAGCTTTCAAGCTCTCTGATAATGATGAAATTGGGAAGCTATCATTCAAAAACCTGAAACATGTGGCCAAGGAGTTGGGTGAGAACCTGACTGATGAGGAGCTTCAGGAAATGATTGATGAAGCTGATTGAGATGGAGATGGAGAGGTCAGTGAGCAAGAGTTCCTGCACATCATGAAGAAGACCAGCCTTTATCAAGATCAGTGTCTTTTCTACTGCAAGCACACATAACTAGATTTACTGCTTGCCATTGTGTGAAATTTGGCTTTTAAGAACACAAACTATTTTTCCCCCACTGACTTCCCTGTATAACTGTAGTCATGACATTGAATCTATTTTAGACTTTTGGAAGTGTTCTTTGATATTATAGTTCCTTGTAAAATTACCTGCTGATTACTTTAATTCTGAAAAACAAGAGCACATTAGAGTGGAGAAAAGGGTCTTAAAGCTTAGACCACCTGCCATTTTGCCTTGCATTGTTACATTCTTGTCATGCATTCCCACATGTATGCAAACACAAAATGACATCTTAGACAAGCACATGTTGTACCCATGTCACTACAAGCAGTAGCCATTCTTCAATAGTTCTAGTTTTTAGTTGACACCTGAGAGCAATTTTATCTCTTATAAAACTCAGTGAACTCTTGCACTGGCATTTGGATGTGTGTTAATGCTATTCATTTTGTCTTAAAAATAAAACCTTTCTTACTTTGAACAAAAAAGTACCACAGAAATCATGGAGCTGAAGAGCACAATAACTAAACTAAAGTATTCACTAGAGGGGTTCAGCAGCAGACTAGATCAAGCAGAAGAAAAGATCAGCAAATTCAGAGACAGGTCACTGGAAAATAATTCAATCAAAGGAACAAAAAGAAAAAAGCATAAAAAAAGAGTGAAGAAAGCTTAAGGCAATTATGGGACAACAATAAGTGGACTCATATACACATAATGCAAGTTTCAAGGGTACAAGAGTGAAAGAAAGGACTAGAGAAAGCTGATTCAATGAATTAATGGCTGAAAGCTTTCCAAATGTGAGGGAGAAAATAGAAATACAAATCTAAGAAGCCCAAAGGATATCAAATAAAATGAACTAAAAATATTCATACTGAGACACATTATAATCACAACGTCAAAATTTACAGACAAAGAGAAAATTTTGAAAACAGCAAGAAAAAAGTGAATTATCACATACAAGGGAAGCCTCATAAGACAATCAGTGGATTTTTCAACAAAAAACCTTGCAGGTCAGAAGGTAGTGGGATAATATATTTAAAGTGCTAAAAGAAAAAAACTTTCAACCAAAAATACTATACCTGACAAAATTCCCCTTCAAAAATGAAGAAAAAAAGAGTTCCAATTCCAAAATGGCTGCACAGAGGCAAGCTGGCTTCACTCCTTCCCAGAGAAAACCAAAACCAATATACAGTGCTGAGATTTTCACCAGCAACAACTCAGAGCTCGAGTATGAGGATGAGATAGTTCCTGGGACCACACAAAAGCGGAAAAACTTCAAGTAGAATATAGGAAAATTAGACTTCCACATCTGTGATGTTCCTCCCCACCATTTTGCCCAGCACCAAGAAAATGGAAAAATCTCCCCCAAACTCATTGTTTCCACACTGGAAAAAGTGAAATTGAGGTGATCGACCAGCTTCCCCACCTTCTTGGGTTCTCTGGCAGGAGACCTGTCCTTGCCTTAACCCATGGGGCAGCATTTTGACCACTTGAAGAGAGAAATATCTTTGAGAACAAGCAGAGATGATGCACAGAGGTGAAACTACCATCTCAAGTCCTGGAAACTCTGTTCTATAACTCACCCAAAGAAGACTGCAAATCAGAGTTACTGTTCAGGAGCACCATGCCATAGGAGGTACATTCCACAGGTCCCTGGGCACGAACCCCTGGCCAGCCTTCCCACATTGCTGGAATAATTCCTTTGGGAACTCTCCCATTCAAGTAGGCAGCACTCCAACCATTTACTAGAGCCAAGGCAAATCTGGGCTTAATGTGCCACCTGGAGCTGAGAAGGAGGAAGTGACCTAGCAGTAAAGATTCAATGTGCAAATATATTCAATAAAAACCAAAACAAGCCAGACAGAGAAAACTGGAATAAATAACTAATCCTTCAATGCAAAGACACAGACATACACCCACAAGAAACAACAGCAAACAGGGACCCCTGACCTCTCCAAAAGGACAAAGCAAAAATCCAGTGACTCGCCCTAATGAGACAATGATTTGTGAGCTCTCTAAGAATTCAAAACAGCAGTTTTAAAGAAACCCAGTGATCTTGAAGGTAACGCAGAAAAGCAATTCAGAACTACAGCAAAGAAAGTGAACAAAGATACTGAAATAATAATAAAAAAAAATTAAACATGGCAAGCCATGGTGGCTCACACATGTATTCCTAGCTACTCAGGAGGCTGAGGCAGAAGGATCACTTGAGCCCAGGAGTTGGAGGCTGCAGTGAGCTATGATCACACCATTGCACTCCAGCCTGGAAAAAAAAAAATGAAGGAAAGATAAAGACTTTCCCAGACAAACAAAATTTAAGGGATTTTATAACTACTAGACTTGCTTTGTAAGAAATGCTAAAGAAGGTCTTCAAGTTGAAACAAAAGGATGCTTAATGGTAACATGATAGCATAAGTATGAAATACATTGGTAAAGGTAAATATATAGATGAATACAGAATAACGTATTACTGTAATGGTAGTGGGTAAACCACTTTTAATTCTACTATAAAAGTTAAAACACAAAAATATTAAAAATAACTATAACCAAAAAAGATGTTAAAAGATGTATAATACTAATAAACGTCAATCATAACATTAACATAAAGGAGGGGTGAAGGGTTAAAGTGTAGAGTTTTTGTATGTGACTGAACTTAAGTTGTTATTAGCTTAAGATAGATTGTCATAACTATAAGATATTGCTACAGTTTGAATGTGTTCCTCAAAGTTTATGTGTTGGAAACTTAATCCCCAATACAACAGTGTTGAGAGGTGGCACTTCTTAGAGGTTATTAGGTCATGATGGCTCTGTCCTCATTAAGGAATTAATGCTGTTGTTGTAAGAGTGGGTTAGTTATCACAGGAGTGGGTTCCTGATAAAAGGATGAGTTCAGCCTCCTTCCCTCACCCCTCATACAAGCTCTTTTGCCCTTCTACTTTTCCACCATGGGATGATACAGCAAGAAGGCCCTTGATTGGCCGGGAGCGGTGCCTCACTCCTGTAATCCTGGCACTCTGGGAGACCGAGGCAAGCGGATTGTTTGAGCTCAGGAGTTTGAGACCAGCCCTAGCAAGAGCAAGACCCCGTCTCTACTAAAAAAAAAATAGAAAGAAATTAGCTGTGCAATTAAAAATATATAGAAAAAATTAGCTGGGCATGGTGGCTCATGCCTGTAGTCCCAGCTACTCGGGAGGCTGAGGCGGAAAGATTGCTTGAGCCCAGGAATTTGAGGTTGCTGTGAGCTAGGCTGATGCCATGGCACTCACTCTAGCCAGGGCAACAGAGTGAGACTCAAAAAAAAAAAAAAAAAGAAGGCCCTTGATAGATGCAACCTCTTGATCTGAGACTTCTCAACCTCCCGAATCATAAGCCAAATAAATTTCTCTTCATTATAAATTACTCAGTCTCGGGTATTCTGTTAAAGTAGCACACAACAGATTAAGACAAAAAATTGATACCAGAGAAGTAAGGTATTGTTATAACAATTACATAAAAATGTAGAAGCAGCTTAGCAACTTAGTAATGGGAAGAGGCCAGAAGAGTTTGGAGAAACAGACTAGAAAAGGCCCGTGTTGCTATGAACAAAGCATTAAGGGAAATTCTGGTGACGGCTCAGAAGAAGAGAAGAAATGTAGGGAAAGTCTGGAACTTCTTAGAGATTACTTAAGTGGTTATGATCAGAATCTTGGCAGAAATATGGATGGTAAAGGCAACTCTGATGAGATCTCTGACCAAAATGAAAAACAAGGTAGTGGAAACTGACGGAGTTGGGGATAGAGATTGCAGAGACAGAGGGGATGGGGGTTTCATTTTAAATTAGGATGGCCAAGGAAGGCTTCACTGAGGAAGTGTCATTTAGTAAGAGCCTAGAATAGCTGAGGAGTGAGCCGTACAAGTGTCTGGGGGAGGGGCTGAGGAAAGAGCAAACACAGAGGCCCCTGGGTGGGTGTGTGTGGTGTGAGAGGGATAGGATAGCAAGGGGGCCAGTGTGGTCCCGATGGACGGAGTGAGGGGAGAGTAGCATCAGGTGAGGTCGTAGAAGGAAACGGGGAGGGGAAGGGACTTGCAGTTCAGGGGACTGACCCATATTTTACTGTGGGTGAAGCTTGTCTAGTTTCTGTGCTGATAATAATCTGTAAGGGGGAAAAAGTGGGTCTGGGAGACATGTTGGGAGGCCATTGCAACGATCCAGGTGCAATAGATAATGGGACTTAGGCCGGAATGGCAGTGGAGAAGTGATGATGAGGAGTCAGATTCGGGAAATATTCTGAAGATGGAGCCAATAGGATTTGCTGACTGATTGGCTGTGAGGCTGTAGCGCGATCCTCCTGCTAGGCTGTCTTGGCATCTGGTGTGTCCCCCCACTCCAAGCATGTCAGCCTCTTTATTAGCCTCTGTTGTGCTTCTGCTATTCTCTAACCTAAAATATCCTCGTCCATCCTTCTGTGTCATGCAGACCTTAAGAGGGCCATCAGAAGTCCTATCTGCCCTATGGAGCCGGGTGGAGTCAGTTAAACTAAATTCAGTTTAGTAAATCTTTATGGAATGGCATCAGGTTTAGTCATTATGCTAAGGAATGCCAAGAATGCAAAGGCTATGTAGGATAGTCCTGTACTCTCAAGGAACTTCTGGCTTTTGTCTTACTTATGTGTAGTAGGAGGGATAACTATATAAATGACCAGGATTCATTTATTTGTTCTACAAACTCAGTGTGGCCACTGGGAAGTCTCATAGCCATCTGGAGTTAGAACTGCAGACTTATACCTTTCTAAACCTCATTCTTTCTAAGTCCTCGTCATCTACCTAATTCCTTAGGCCCCAAACCAGGTGTAACCTTAATTATCTTTTTCTCTCACCTACCACATTTAATGTATCAGTAATTCCTGTTTTCATGATCTCCAGAATATATTCTATACCCAACTGCTTCTCACTGTCTTCTGCTAACACTTATGCCACCGTTAGCTCTCCTCAGCCTCTGCAAAAACCTCTTAAATTGTCCTCCTTCCACTTCAGTTTTTGCCCCCATACAATCTGTTCTCAGCACAGAGGCCTGAGAGATCTTTTCAAAGTGTAAATAAATTATTATTACAGATAATGTGACTTCCCCTGCTTAAGGCTCTCCATGGCTTTTTACTGCAATTAGAGTGAAATCGCAACTTTATTGGCCTCCAAGACTCCTTGAGATGACCCCTGCCTACTTGTCTGATTTATGCGATTCTCCCCAGACTCATTATTTTCCATTCACACTGGCCTTTTAAAAAATTGTTGCTTGTATTACAAAAATAATATTACATTCACATTTTTGTGCAACCATCACCACTGTCCATTTCCAGAACTTTTTCATTATCCAAAACAGAAACTCTACCCATTAAAAAATAACTCCCCACTTTTTTTTTTAATTTTAAGGAGATTTATTCTGAGTCCAATTTGAGGACCATGACCTGGAGCCACACCCAGGAAGTCTTGAGCAAGTGGACTCGCTGTGGCTGGGTTACAGTTGGTTTTATACATTTCAGGGAGACAGGGGTTACAGGTAAAGTCATAAATCAATACGTGGGAGGCATACATTGGTTTGGCCCGAAAAGGTGGGCCATCTCGAAGGGGGGGGCTTACAGGTTATAGGTGGGTTTAAAGATTCTTTGACTTCTAATTGGTTAAAGTCATGCTTTGTCTAAAGGTTTGGAATGTTTTAAGATAAGGAGCTGTTAATCAGAGACAAGCCACCAGACATATATTTGTTACGTAAATTGAGGACCTGCAGGTTTGTCTTGCATACCCTTAGGCCTGTTAATGGGTTACAAAGGTTTCTCCAAGAAGGGAGGGGGGCATGATGAGGCATGCCTGACCTCCCTCCTCATGGCAGGAAATTTAGTTTTAGGGTATCCCCTTGGCCAAGAGGGGGTCCATTCAGTCAGCCGGTGGTGGGAGTGAGCCATAAGATTTTATTTTAGTTCACAATTCCCCTCTTTCAGCCAAGATCTGTCAGAGGCAGCATCTATGGCTAAACTCTTATTTTGTCCCATTCATTGCCAGGGTGGTGTGGCTACCTGTCCTGGGTCCATCCAGTCCCTCAATGGGACCCTTGTGGCCAAGAGGACCGAAGAGCCAAATGGGGGCTTACAGACCATTAAATATTTTAGGCCAAACAGGACTGGAGGTAGACAGGCACTCACCAACATTTTAGACTTTCAGCAGGCTGAGGTAGGAGAATCACTTGAGCCCAGGAGTTTCAGGATGCAGTGAGCTAGGATAACACCAGCGACTAGCCACTGCATTCCAGCCTGGGTGAGAGAGTGAGACCCTGTCTCTAAAATAATAAAGGAAGGAAGGAAGGGAGGGAGAGAGGGAGGCAGGGAAGAAGGAAACTCCAAAAGCACTTTCGTTTTATAGCTAAAAAAGCTGGAGCACAGAGACACTAAGTACTTTGCTTAAGGTCATACAGCTAGTGACTACAGAACCAAGATTACATCCAGTTAAGGAGATGATTCCAAGAGCCCTCAAAGATCACAACCTGGAGCAAAAATCAACTCCAGGAAGCAGCTAGGACTGTTCTACCTTCTCAAGTAGTAAGTAAGTATCGGGGCTGAAGCAAAAGCTTGGAAGCAGACAGTTCTACTGAAACTGAAAAGAACCCGAAACTGGACTCAAGGTAGAAATCGTTGACACAGGGAACAACGGAAGCACTTGGAGGTCAAGCACAACACAGTTATAGCCTCATGAGCTCTTCGAGGGGTGGGAAAGATTCACGCAAGGCAGTTACCAGTTATTACTTTTCCTGCTGGCAGCAGCAGCCGCAGCAGCTGGAACGCAGCAGCTAGAACATGCTGACATTTCCTGTGTCCCAGCCACAACCTCCAGCAGCTGTAATGTTCTTATGAAAACTTGCCATCAAGATAGCTGATGCTACAATTATTTGTTGTTGCTGTTTTACTTACCACAGTAGGTGTATGAAATACTTGCATCGGAGGAGTTGCAGACCCAATTTTGCTTCCCAGGTTCAGTAAATATGGAAGAAAACAGGGTAGGAAAAAACATAAACAGGAACATGATTCACTATCTTCAAAACTTTAAAAATGCAAGGAGGTTCAATAACTAATCAGTAGTAGAAAAGATTTAACTTAGTCATCAATCACATGATTTCTTAGTTCCTATCCAACTGTTTCCTCTTTTTATGTGTGCGCGCGCGCGCGCACGTGCGTGCGTGTGTGGGTGTGTGTGTGTCTAACATTTGAGCATTTCCTCAAAGGGGAAAGAGCAAATAATTTACAATGTACTTTTCAAATACTTGATGCAAATGAGTGACCAGCTTTAAAAACAAAACAAGGCACTTCCCAGTCGATAGTAATAAAACCAGTCCATGCACTTCCCTTAAAGTCTCAACAGCCTGGCACTTCTTTTCCATCTGCATTGCTATTCTCTCCCACAAGCTCTTTACACAACAGTTTCTCATGGCTCGGAGAGCTGGACCTACAGATCTGAACTGAACAGTCTCATGTAAACTATTTCTGTTCAGCAACAGGTTTAGCCACAGGACAGAACAAGGACAGATGAGACCCCAAACAGGGGGCACTAGCTGTGGTTCTGCACTGTGGGCAGAGACCCCACCAATCTTGAGAATGCATTCACCTAGAACCAACCAGAGCTCGAGAATATTTTGAGTCCTAATAATAAAATGTCATTATCTGGGGTGGCATATATTTCTTTTCAAAACTCTCACTCCATTTTAGAAAAACAGCCATTTCTTAAGACGTTTCCTACATGAAATCCTTTATAGGATATAGTTTAGGGTTAATAGCCAAAAATGCCACGGAGTTGTAGCCTAAAAATCTGCACACTTAAAAGGAAGATAATCATGTTGGTAAAGCTTTTACAGTAGAACTGTGCTGCTTTCCCTTTCTTTAGAGACAAAGTTTTGCTACATTGCCTAGGCTAGAAAGCAGTGGCTATTCACAGGTGTCATCATAGCTCACTGCAGCCTCGAACTCCTGGGCTTAAGCAATCCTCCGGCCTCAGCCTTCAGAGAAGCTTAGACTACAGGTGGGAGCCACAATGCCTGGCTTCCCATTTTTAAAAAGGCAAAAATTCAAGGGAGGAGGAGCAAATGGAGAGTTGCTCGATGAGCATAGTTTCAGGTTGGCAAGATGAAAAAGTTCTAGAGATCTGTTAAAACGATGTGAATATAGTTAACACTACTAAACTGTACACTTAAAATTGGTTAAGATAGCAAATTTTATGTTACACACTTTGTATCACAATTTGAAAATAAATGTAAGAGCTGTAAAAAGAAGGTAAAAACCCATCAATGTCCCTAGTGGTCTTAAAATATCATTTCCAACTAAAAGGAACCAGGACTCCTTGGAGAAATTATTGATTTCAGGTCTGGGGCAGAAAATGTACAAGATGAGCCTGAAACACCTCATCATACTAGATAACCAGTTTAAAGAGGGTTCCACCGATCAAAGATGGCTGTTATTAGTTTCCTGCTGCGGCTGTAACAAATTGCTAAAAGTTTAGTGGCTTAAAACAGTGCAAATTTATTCTCTTACAGTTCTGGAGGTCAGAAGTCTAGGATCAGTTTCACTGGACTAAAGTCAAGGTGTCAGCAGAGCTGGTTCCTTCTGGGGACTAGTGGAAGAATCCGTTTCCTTTCCTTTTTCAGCTTCTAGAGTTGCAATCCTTACATTTCTCCATCCTCAAAGTGCATCACTCCAATCTCTGCTTGCATCATCCCATCGCCTTCTCTTCTGATACCCTGCCTCCTCTTATAAGGACCCACTGATTACAATGAATCCAGCTGGATAATCCAGGATAATCCGTTTTAAAATCCTTAATTCCATTACATCTGCAAAATCCCTTTTGCCATATAAGGTAAAGTTCACAGCTTCCAGTGATTAGGCCATGGACATCTTGTGCCATTATTTAGCCGACCTATATGACTATATGAACATTAATAATATAATAACTGCAATAAATTGAAATACATCAAATATACTTTAATTCATGAGCTCATGCATATATTTTTAAGTCTACTTATCATTAGATGATGCTAGGAAACCAACTCTATTTTGAAACTGGCAAATAAAGGGAAAGGATCAAGCATTTATCCCGACTCTTTTCTACAAACTGAATTACTGAGTTACCAAATAGAGAGGGGTGAGTCTCTTTCCTTCCTGTACTCTTATCTCTATTTTTAGGAGTATTTCAGCTAATAAATGGAAAAGGAATAATAGAATGTGACCATTTTGCAACACCTAATGAATTAATGGACTTAGGCATTGAGCATCAATAGTTACTAACATCACAGAGACAAAAAGATGGTAGGTACCTTTTAATGCAAGAGCACTGTGGTGACAAGTCTTCGTGATGGCTCCCTAGGAGCCTTATCTCCTGGTGTGCACACCCTTGTGAATTCCCTCCAACACTGAATAAGTCTCACCACGTAACCAATAAAGCATTATGCAGTGACAGTATGTGACTTCTACATGTGTCACACACACATGGTAGCTTCCACCTTGCTCTCTTGGATGACTTGCTCTGGGAAAAGCAAGCAGCCCTAAAGAGATATCCATGTGGTGAAAAACTGAGGCCTCCTGCCATCGCTTCTTGACCTTTTGGCTAAGATCAAGTGTAGTATCTGAGACCTCATGCCAGAAAGGTAGTGCCAAATAGTCAGTCATGTGAGTGAGCCACATTGGAACCACTGCGTTCCTTGTACCCCAGTCCAGCCTTCAGATGACACAGCACCAACTGACTTGACTGCTGCCTCCTGAGAGAACCTGAGCCAAACAACTCAGCTAAGTCACTCCCCAATTGCAGATCTATACTGTGCAATATTGTGCTTATTGTTGCTTTATGCCTTAAGTATTAGGGGCAATTTGTTATGCAGCAATAGATAACTATTAATAATAAAAACATCTATGAAGTAGTTTTGTCCCAAATAATGAAACCTCACTCTGATGAAGCTTTAAGATCTACCTATCCATTTACAGGAAATAAAGACAGAGAAGCATGGTTAAAATACAGCTCAGGGGTACAATCAGAAAATCTAGACCATGAGAAGACCTAAAAGACAAACAATTGTTTCTTCAACGGATAATTTGTAAGGCAAAAAAAAAAAAGAGTGAAAGAAATGGAGAAGCCCACAGAACAGTCTTAAAAGACATTTCAACAATTGGTATGAATAAGATATGAATCTTATCTGGATCTTAAGCAAAACAAAATGTGGGAAAAAATTACAAATCAGTTGGAAATTTAAGCAAACTTGGTATTTGATAATATTAGGGTGATGAGGTTTTTTGTTTTGCTTTGTTTTTGTAGGTATGATAATGGTATTGTGTTTATATTTTTTTAAAGAAGTCCTTATCTAGATTAAACAATATTGAGTACAAATTGGTAATTGTTTAATCTGAATGATAAGAGTCATACAGGTTCACTATTCTACTTTTTTATGTTTGAAATTCTCAATAAAAAGAAAAGCAACAACAAAAGTATAAAGTGTTCTAAAAGAATGAGAGGTCAGGCATAATCCCAGCACTTTGGTAGGCCAAGGCAGGAAAATCTCTCAAGCCCAGACCAGCCTGGGCAACACAGCAAGATCCCATCTCTACAAAACATTTTTAAAAATTAGCCAGGTGTGGGGGCACACGTATGTAGTCAGTCCTAGCTAGGTGGGAGGCTGAGGCAGAAGGATCACTTAAGTCCAGGAGTTCAAGGCTGCAATGAGCTGTGATTGCACCACTATACCACAGCTTGGGCAACACAGCAAGACCGTATCTCTTAAAAAAAAAAGAAAAAAAAAAAAAAGAAAAAAATTGGAATACAATTTTAACAAATATGTCCAAGCAAAGCCTGTCATTTATATCTAAGGGCCATTTTGTTACTTTAGGAAGCAAAAGCTAGCATAGAAACTATTTTATAGAAGGTACTATCCACGTATTTAGTACCAGTGATTTTCCTACTGTGATAGGGTGCCAAGCGAGAACACTGAAAACACTACTTGGGTTACCATTTCCCTGATAGCTAACCACAAACTCAACTATATGTGAATGTTCTCATTATAGGCAACCATGCCAGAGGAGGTAGGCAAAACCTACGTTTTGAACCAAAGGACACAGATTAACACTGCTTCCCATAATTTGAGAATTTTTCAAAGTTTTTTAATGTGGGAAAAGAATATTCATATACACATAAAAATCCACACACAAAGAAAAAAGTAACTCTCCCATTTGTTTCTGACAGATCCCCAGTTTAGAGGCAACCACACTTAGATATAGCTCTTAAATTATCTGTGTATATACCATCACGAACATGTACATTTACAAACCTTAAGCACAAATGGTAGATAACCATGTTTCGTTTTTCAAACATAGCTTATTTTACTATGAGTTATCATTCCATGAAAATTAAAAGCTGTTTGATAATTTCAAATTATTTTTAACAGTCACTACAGAATACAAAAGTAAAGACAATTTTTTCATTATACATTGAAACATAAATCACAAATATAAAAACAATATGCTCATTTCTCTTCCTTAACCTGTTTGTTTTCACTGGTTTCTTCCATATCAAAAGTGAATGGTTTGTCATAACCCATTAGATGGATATAGTCTTCAGGGTCTGGAAAGAGCGTTGGATTAACTAACAGTGATTTTGTTTTAGCATAAAATGTCGTGAACACATGCGTGCTGTCTGGAATCTTCACGTCATTCTGGTGGAACACTGTACTTTTTTCTGAAAGCACAACATTATAAGTAATGGCTTTGTAAGTGTCTGTAGCTGCCTCATGGTACAACCGAATGACATAGCCTTTTGTAACAAAGTGAAGCAGCACTGGAGTGATCACCGTAAAGCTTCCTATGATGCCAAAAAATAAGATTTGCAAAAGAAGACTTTCAGATAAAATATAATTTTGTGTAAGAAAGTATGGTAGACATGCAAGGCTGATCATACTTGTAGAATAAGAGAAACACTTCACACCTAAATGGGGAAAAAAAATGGGAGAAGATCAATACTTTCAAGTTTTACAAAAGAGTCGATCTATCCTACTAATTCTTCCACTGTTCTTCTTACTGTGTCATCATGAAAACAAACAAAAAAAATCAAAACACAAATATAGTGTTTATTAAATGTTTTAAGCACTTTATAGATTTTATTCTTTATAATTTTATAAATGAATTAACTATAATTCATTTATAAATTAATGATAAATTTAAAATTTATAATTTTAACATGATCCTAATAAAGATACTATCTGTTTGGAATAGAGACAAGTTGAGATCCTAAACAAGTTGATTATAAAGTTCATTTGGAAAAAGAAAAAAAGGGAGGAGTAAGTTCTTTCAAATATTAAACACAATAGAAAAATAGAAATAGAATATAAATAAAATAGTGTGGGACTGGTGTACAAATAAACAGACATATCAACAGAACAGAATGGAAAATCCAGAAATAAACCCAACAGTACATGAAAATTCAGTATAGAATAAAGATATCATCTAATTTCAGTGGCCAAAGGATGGACTTTTTTTTTTTTTTTTTTTTTTTGAGACAGAGTCTCACTCTTTTGCCCAGGCTAGAGTGAGTGCCGTGGCGTCAGCCTAGCTCACAGCAACCTCAAACTCCTGGGCTCAAGCGATCCTCCTGCCTCAGCCTCCCGTGTAGCTGGGAATACAGGCATGCGCCACCATGCCCGTCTAATTTTTTTCTATATATTTTTAGTTGTCCGATTAATTTCTTTCTATTTTTAGTAGAGACGGGGTCTCGCTCTTGCTCAGGCTGGTTTCGAACTCCTGAGCTCAAACAATCTGCCCGCCTCGGCCTCCCAGAGAGCTAGGATTACAGGCGTGAGCCACCACGCCCGGCCTAAGGATGGACTTTTGAATAAGTGGTGTTTGGACAACTGGATAGCCATATGGAAAATGATAAAGAAAAAGATCACTCTATCCCTTATACCATATACCAAAAAAATTCCAAACAGCCCAGAGATTTAAATTAAAAAAGTAAAATCAGAGATAAAAAAAATACATGGACATAAACACCATAACCAAGACACAAATGAGAAAATGGAAAAAATATTTTCAACTTATATTACAAAGGGTTAACATCCCCAATATATTTTAATATAAAAGGTTTCTAGAAGACGAGAAGACAAATAACCCTATTTTAAGGGCAAAAATGCACACAGCCCTTAAACAGATAAAACGATGCTAAACCTCATTCATAAGAAACATTCAATTAAAACTACAGTAAGATACTATTTTTCCCCCAAATCAGCAAAAGCCAAAAGTTTGACAACTGTTGGTGAAGCTCTGTTACTCCCATCTCCTGCTGTTGGCTGAAGGTTTAATTATCTTTTATTAGTAATTTAAAAAAATATTTCCTTCTCTTTCCACAGGTAGTTGCTATAACATTGGTACACATGGGATACAATGGGGATCAAGTTGCCTCCTATGTAAAAAAATCTCCTCAGCCCTTCCAAAATACTTCTTTTTCCCTTACTTTTGTCAAATTGTAGTCCCCACAAAATTCATGTCGACCCAGAACCTCAGAGTGTGACCTTATTTGGAAACAGGGTCTTTGCAGATTTAATTAAAGATGGAGATGAGACCAGACTGGATTAGGATAGACCTTAAATCCAACGAGGGTATCCTTATAAGGACAGACTAGGACAAAGAGAGACACAAATTCGGGCATGTGAAGACCAAGGCAGAGACTGGAGTTATGCAGCTACAAGCCAGAATGCCAAGGATTTCCAGAGCCACCGGAAGCTGGAAGAAGTAAGGAAGAAAGCAACTAATCCCTGATAGAGTGACTTTCTGTTAATTATACTATTGAAAGAACCCAAACATTAAATTCCTCTATAAGTTACAACTCTAGAATGCTGAATACCATGGATAGCTATGTTCTTCCAAGTATTACATCCTACCCATGCCAAAATTAACCCCTATTTTCTCCTTTCCAGAATGGAGTCAAATGGGAACAAAACATAAATCAATAAGCCTTCACTGCATTTTAAGAAATGGTGCTTGCATTCAGACAGAAGGGTACCATGGGACTCATTGTTAAAAGATATCTCAATGGCATCAATATAGGTATCCCAGGCCAGACTCAATGGCCTACTCATACATTGACTTCCGAAGAAATTTCTAACCACCCAAAATTAGTTATTCCAATTACTTCACAACTCTACTTAATGATGATGATAATCAGTCCTTCCTAAAAAGTCCTAAATAGCTAAAATTGTACTTTAAACATACTCTAATGTCACACACTTGAAAACTTACAGATTTCCAGAGTGAATTTTAGATGACCGCTTGACACCATTATGATCAAAAATGCAAACGCAAATGCAAATGTGGGTGCTCAAATCTTGTGGCCATACCTGGCTATAAACTAACCATCTAGATGTTTCAGATCTCTTTTTTAGATTATTAAAATGAAATGCAACCTCTGGGAACTTGAACAAATCACATACCTCACTAAGTTCTTCTGACCTTCTCTACTAAATACTAAATTATGATCTAAGGAAAGTGCTTTAAACTTAAGCTATTTAATAAACTTACAGCTGTCTTTTCTTTCTCCATAACTTTCTACCACCTGGGAAAGCCACTGGATAAATGTTTGTCATAAATTCTAAGATGACCTGAAAAAAATGTGTAATTTATATGTTTCTGAATTATAAAAGCATGACATGCTCATTTTAACTGTCAAATTTAGAAATATACAAAGTAAAAATTGAAAATTCCCCAATTCTACTCCAAAAAGTTAATTATTCTTAAGAGGTATTCTTCCATACTTTTTCCTCTGCATATTCAAACATTATAGAAATACACACTTTTTATTTTTATTTTGTTAAACATCCTGACAGAGGTAACCAAAGAAAGGAAGCTTGAGTGTTCAGCTGTAAGATCACAGTCATAATACAGCCTCCAAACATCTTTTTAAAACCCCCTAAAAATGTAAATGTCTCCACATCTTATCGACAGGTCTCAAAAAAATGATAATCTAAATTCCCTTATGTCTTATAATTAAAGGATGCTATAACAATAGGTAACATATACTAAAAATATTTTTTACAATTAAAAGGAAAAAAAAGGAAATCTCCTCACTTGCGATTACCCACCAAATACTACTCGGGCCAGGTTCCCAGTATAAATCAGCCTTCCATCTTCTGATTTGTCAAGTTGTGTATGTGAGGATCGAACAGATCCTTCCCAACAAACAGGTATCTATTGAAACAGAGACCATCATAATATGAGTAAATAGTAAATTACATTTTCAATAAACCTTTAAATATTTTAAAGTTTATTTTTTAAAATGAAATGAAGAGAACTTGTCACATGAGGTGACATAGGAATTCTCCCAAAAAAGCGACAGAGCTAAAGAAAATAAATTAACTAACAGAATGGCTTTCCTTAATCCCAGTCACAAACAGAAAAGTGACAAGCTGGAATCTGTTAAGTTTGTATGCCAGCTCTCAGGTTTTAGGTCTAGAGTGACCTTGAACAAATAAAAATAGTTTAGTGGAATACATTCCACTGTTAATGAGGACATCATTCTCATTCGATTTAAATGCATTAGCTTTTCAAAAAATAAGTAAAATTTAATTTTAATACAATAATCTAAGTAAAACACTCTGCAAATTCAGATCATAAAGTCCAGACATTTTTTAATATTTCTAAAATATTTATACTATAGCTAGTATTTACATAAACAAAAAATACTCTTTCCCTAAAGACCTTGTAAATACCTTGCACCCCCTGTTCAACAAGAAAAAAATTTTACTTGAAATTCTACATCAAATTTCACGGAAACAGAAGAGTTACCCGAACATCTGAAAATGAATTTCACAGCATACACATTTTTAAATGTAAAAGGCATGTCTAATTCCTTCATGCTGAAATTTTATTAGGTACTAATTTCCATTTTAGGCATTTCTTCCAAGATTCAACAAGGTTTGCCAATCCTGATTATCTTACAGGTTAGAATTAGCAGACAATTTATTCAGATTAACGTTCATATTCCCGATTTTCCCAGGGACCATAGGAATTCCCAAAAATAGAGCCACCTTATAAAAAAAGAGAGAAAACTCAATCAGGCTTCCCGGGCTCTTTCGGTGCAGCACCCAATTTCTTTGCAAATTAATCCTTCGAAGCTTCTGCTCAAGAGTAGAAAAGGAACTAAACCGAGTTGCCACCACAAACTAGCTGGATTTGGAACCACGTGTAAAATGCTTGGAACCGCTTAGAAAAGTAACCGCTTTCCAACCGTACTCCTAGACTGGCCGAGGCTGTGAACCCCGGGCCCACCAGCCCTCGGCCTGCTACTTCTGCAAGCCCCGCAGAAGGAGGACTCCTTCCGCACTCGAGAGACGGACAGGCGGGAGAGATCGCGGAAAGCCGCCGGGACCCCAGAGCCGAAACTGCACTCGCCTTCCCCAGCCCAACTCCCAACTCGAACCCTCGGACGGCCGACCTGCGCTCGCCCAGGACGCCAGAGGACGGGCGCGGCTCCCCACAGCCCCGCGCTCCCGCCGCCGACCGGCCCCGAGAGCCCGCAGCAGGAGGCAGCCCGCGGGACAGCCGTCCTGGGGCCTCGAGGCGCAGTGGCCGCCCACAATGCCGTCCCCTTCCAGCTGAGCCGCAATCCGGACGCCCACCGGGAGCCCAACGCCAGAAGCAACATCCTGCGCTTGAGAAGCGGCCGCGGACGGCACCGCGGCAGCAACCCAACGCCACAAGACCGGACACCTAGCCCGACTGCGGCCTAGACTTGCGGCGCGCGTCCCGCCCTCTGGAGGCATGCCGGGCCGGAGAGGCCGCCCGCGCGTGCGCAGAATGTGCGGCGGCCCGCAACCTTCCCTGCAGCGCGCGTTCCCTGCGTCCTGAGCTGTGAGCTCGCCACACTGCCCTCCGGCTAGGGGCAGACGCCCGTCCTGTGCGCGGCTCCCGGGTCCTAGAATTTAGCCTTCTCTATGACAGTCTGGAAGGAGTAGGGAAGAGCCCTTAGTAAAGGACAAATCCTGGAAGCCAGGGTTAAATCTTTCATTCTCGTGGACGACACTTTCTACGCCCTAAAAACTTTCCTTTGAGGAAAATGATTCTACCCTATTGGCACAGAACGAAGGATACCTTATATGATTTAAACGAATAGCAATTTAATTCAACCACTGGGCAGAAAATAAATGGAACTTGTTCATGTAATATTGATTATTGTTATCAAATTTGTCTTCGGAAATCATTCACATCCATATACGTATTTGTTCATAGGAGCTGAGGATACAAAGATATTGGATAAAATTGGGAATCCACGGTACTCACATAGTGGAGGAAACACCTAAAAGTAAGATAGGATATAATGGTGTAATATACTTGATATATACCAATATACCAAATGCCTTGGAAGTACAAAGGAGAGCATGATTAATTCGGCCTCACAATGTCTGAAGACCGGCTTCCTATTCAGCTGAGTCTTGAAGGATGAGCATCTGACTAGCAGAGACACACTTTTGTTTACCACTATTTCACAACTGTAACTGGTTTTGATTTGGCATGTTATTTGCACAGGAGAGGAACAAATTTTTAATTTAAGATAATACGATTACCTTGGCAACTCCAAATACTGCCTACTTTGGGGGTAGTAACCAAAAAGGGAAAATGATACTACTTCTTTATGAATAACTTTATTTTCTTAAAATATCTTCTACTTACATTTTTAAAACTCTTCTGTTTAGTGTAATTCATACTACAAACATCCATTATCTATTATTTTACTGATATATATTTTAAATTCTCAGATAAAGAATATTTTTCTTTAATATATTGCGAGAACCTGAATTTTACCTTCTGTAAGGCTTAGTATCTTCCTACAGATGAAAATAATATTTGTTTGCTTTACTTCTCAAGGTTTTTTTTTTTTTTTTTTTTTGAGATGGAGTCTCACTCTGTAGCCCAGGGTAGAGTGCCATGGCATCAGCCTAGCTCAGAGCAACCTCAAACTCCTGGGCTTAAGCAATCCTTCTGCCTCATCCTCCCAAGTAGCTGGGACTACGGGCATTCGCCACTATGCCCAGCTGATTTTTTTCTATATATTTTTAGTCGTCCAGCTAATTTCTTTCTATTTTTCTTTTTTTTTAGAGACGGGGTTCTTGCTCTTGCTCAGTCTGGTCTCGAACTCCTGAGCTCAAACGATCCACCCGCCTCGGCCTCCCACAGTGCTAGGATTACAGGCGTGAGCCACCACACCTGGCCTGAATTCTCAAGGTTTTTAAATATCTAAAATGAGATCATATTCCGAAAACTCTGCTATAGAATTACGTGGAATTGTTATATATGGTTAAATGGATTTTTCAGTCTAGTAATTTAGAGACATTTGTTGAATATAAACTACTCGAATGGGATTTTAGAAAGAATCTAAGGCTGTTTTTTAAAAAATAACCCTTGGCCAGGCATGGTTGCTCACACCTGTAATCCTAGCACTCTGTGAGGCTGAGGTGGGAGGATCGCTTGAAGTCAGGACTTTGAGATTGCCATGAGCTATGTTGATGCCACTGCACTCTAGCCCAGGTGACAGAACGAGACTCCGTGTCAAAAAAATAAATAAATAAAAAATAAAATAAAATAAAAAATAACCTCCGATTACCCATTCATATCATCTGAGAGATTCCATTTAAGGATGGAAGCTGATGGAAAATGAACAATGGCTATCACTTGTAGAAAGTATGCCCCCCCCCCACTGTCAACGGAAAAAAAGCCAAACTCTGTAAAATAATTTTAAAGAGATTTACTCTGAGCCAAATTTGAGGACCATGACCTGGATCCACACCCAAGAAGCCTTGAGCAAGTGGACTCACTGTGGCTAGGTTACAGTTTGGTTTTATACATTTCAGGGAGACAGGGATTACAGGTAAAGTCATAAATCAATACGTGGGAGGCATACATTGGTTTGGCCCGAAAAGGTGAACCATCTCGAAGAGGGGTGGAGGGCTTATAGGTTATAGGTGGGTTTAAAAATTCTTAGACTTGTAATTGGTTAAAAACATAAGGCTTTGTCTAGAGGCTGGGAATGTTTTAAAATAAGCTCTTAATCAGAGATAAGCCACCGGACATATATATCTTGCGTAAATTGAGGACCTGCAGGTTTGTCTTGAATACACTTAGGCCTGCTAATAGGTTACAAAGGATGTCCCCAAGAAGGGAGGGGGGCATGATGAGGCATGTCTGACCTCCCTCCTCCTGGCAGGCAATTTAGTTTTAGGATATTCCTTTGGCCATGAGGGGGTCCATTCAGTCAGCTGGTGGGGAGGTGAGCCTTAAAATTTTATTTTAGTTCACGCTACTGTATGTAATTTGGGGTTTTTTTTTTTTGGTTTTTATCGTCCTGAACTAGAGGAGGAAAGGAACAATTGAAAATGGGCCCATAGCTTCCTCCCAATCACACTCTATTTTGAGCTACCATTATAGCTAAAAAACTTTTCTATTATTTCTACAAAGGACAGTCTGCTCTATTCTTGCAATTAATTCTAAAAGAAGCAATACCTTTCATCTGCCAAATTAACTAAAAAAAGCATTCCAGGCAAGTCATTAATTAGTTCAACAATGTGTAGCCTGTATCTATTTTCCTTTTGTGGACACAAAGTGCTTAGTTGAGCAACTTGTGTCTTGGCCCTACAAGCTCTTCATGGCACACTCCCCAAAAGAAAGCAGAAGCGTGTTTAGCAGTTTCAGCCTTCCTGGAAAGGTGCCAGTATAGCTAACCACAGGAAAGGGGGAAGGTGTAAAGGGGGGCGTGGAGTGAGAAAGATGGTCCCAGAACTGAAATAACGGTGGTGACAGGCGCCTGGACTTCCCGCGAGTGAGCTCAGAATCGAGGACAGCTAAGCAAACCCAGGAGGGCGGGGGAAGGGTCCCTGGGTGGGGGTAGGGGCGTGGCTAATTTTCAGTAAACATTGAACGATACCGGGAAGAGAGGAAATGAGGCCAGCACATAACGCTAGCCGTTGAGATCTCTTAAGCATGCACTGCAGCTTATTTCTCAAGGGACGGATGCAGCTTCATAAAGAGCACGATGTTGTTAGGATAGAAACCGCACTCTCTGCAGTCTCCCACCTCCAGGCATACCCCCAAATGAGAGGCACGGGCAACCTCTAAAGCCATGAAAAGCTTAACACTCAGTGAGAGAAACTACAAGTCCCAGGATGCAGTGCTGCCTCGAGCCAAACACCGACAGAATCTGCCGGAGAAACGACAAATCCCAGGATGCAGTGCTGCCTCGGGCCTCCGAGCGCGTCTCCAAGCATTCCGTTCCTACATAAATGGGATAAGGGCTGGCGGGGCATGCTGGGAATCCAGAAGACGTAGGCTCGGATTGGTTGAGATTTGCTAGTGACTGCTCTTAGGCTGGCCACCTTTACTGTGGGGGAAGGGAGAGGGCACTACGCACTTCCTCCAGACGGAAGCGAGCTCCAGACTGTACGTCCCGCCTCATCAGGTTCTCATCTCCCGCGTCTCGCAGAAAGCGGCTGTGACCCAGCGGAAGTAATTCCTCCCGCTGCCCCGGAACCCACGGGGGCAGGGAGTTGGGGGTGGGGGGGCGGCCCTGGAGTAGGGGCTGTGGCGGTTCGTGGGGACCCGGCTGCGGTGGCTGCGGTGCCTGCGGGGCTGACGAGTGAGTCTCGGGCTAGGGCGGGAATGGAGCTCCGGGTACGCGTGGAGGACGAGGGAGAATGGTACTGGGCGCGCTCGCAATTCCACTTCCCACCCCTTCCCATCTGGGCGGGGAAGGAACGGAAGCTCTTAACCTCTCTGGGCCTCCCCGGCTCCTGGTTTGGGGGAGGGGAAACGAGGGCGGCGGGACCTTTCGTGGCGCTGCTGGGTGGGCTTGGAAAGAGGTGGATGCAGGGGCGGCAGCACGCAAGACAGGGCTTTCTCTGGGCTAAGCCCGGGGAGGGTGGAGTTAGGAGCCTGCCAGCCCTGTCGCTTTTCCTTTTTGCTTTCTTCACGTGCACTCAGTTCTTTTCTAGAAGTCAGTCCCTAATCCCAGGAGAGGGCCCTCGCTCCTTTGAGCTGCGGGACCCCGAGAAGTTTTACCTTCTGGCAACTTGTTGGGCGATTTGTACCCAACTTGGTGGGTTGGGGCTTTCGTGCACCTACCTCCCAGTCTTGTCTGAAAGGAAGTGTCTAGTGTCAAATGCAGTGCCCTTTGCGTTTTTCTGAAGGAACTGAAATCTCTTTAGTAACATACAACTCTGGAGTCATTTAGTGCTATAGAAAACAACCGAAATTCTTTAGTCTTAAAAAATCTCCTTACTTCCAAAAACTGTCGTATTTGTTTTTTTGATCCCCAAATAATTTTTTCCTTTTTTGTTAAGTGGCCTGAAATAATAAACCTCTGGTCTTGATTATATTACAATATAATTCATGTTATTGAAAAATTACAGTTCACAGCTGAATTTATTCATTCAGGAGATAAATGGCTACGAAAGAGCTGTGGATATTTATTGCTTATTGCCAGTGATTATTTGGAGTCCCTTTTTAATTTTTAAATGACTATCCCCTTTTTTCTTAAATACGAGATTTATCTAATAACTACCATTCAAAATATATATATACATTTATTCCAAGGGAAGAAACCGTTTTCGTTACTAGATGAATTCTGTAATATAATTAGCCAGAAGTTACAGTCAGCCCTACATATCAAGTTCTAAAGTGATATTTAATTGTTTAAGTTGTCTAAAATGCTTATCTTGGTTTTTGTGGCATATTTTTCTATACTGGAAAATAATTAGGAAAATCTTTGTTATTATGCTGATGTGTGTTAATATGTTTCAGCTAATCTGGTGTCCTAAATACTTTATTGTTCTTTTATAAAATAAGATCAGGGCCAGGTGTGGTGGCTCACACCTGTAATCCTAGCACTCTGGGAGGCCCAGGTGGAAAGGTCGCTTGAGGTCCGGAGTTGGAGACCAGCCTGAGTAAGAGTGAGACCCCGTCTCTATGAAAAATAGAAAAAATTAGCCAGGCGTGGTGGCATGTGCCTGTAG